ATAGACATTAAAATGTCTATATTACCTAAGGCAATCTACAGATTCAATGCAATCCCTATCAGAATCCCAGTGACATTCTTCACAGAAATAGAAAAAAAGAATACTAAAATTCATATGGGGCAACAAAAAACCCTAAATAGCTAAAGCAATCCTAAGAAAAAACAACAAAGCTGGAGGCATCACGATCCCTGACTTCAAAGCATACTACAAAGCAATAGTAATCAAAACAGCATGGTACTGGTACAAAAACAGACACACAGATCAATGGAACAGAATTGAAAGCCCAGAAATAAAACCACACGTATACAGACAGCTAATTTTCAACAAAGGAGCTAAGAACATACAATAGAGAAAGGAAAGTCTCTTCAATAAATGGTGCTGGGAAAACTGGACAGCCACATGCAAAAGAATGAAAGTTGACCATCTGCTATCGCCATTCACAAAAATTAACTCAAAAAGGATCAAAGACCTGAAGGTGAGACCTGAAACTATAAAACTCATACAAGAAAATATAGGCAACACACTATTTGACATTGGTCATAAAGGAATCTTTTCAGATGCTGTGCCTACCCAGAAAGGGAAACTAAAGAAAAAATAAGCAAGTGGGACTTTATCAGATTAAAGAGCTCCTACAAGACAAATGAAAGCAGAATCAAAATGAACAGACAACCCACCAGCTGGGAGAAAATATTTGCAAAACATATATCTGACAAGGGGTTAATCTCCATAATATATAAAGAACTCACACAACTGAACAACAAAAAAACAAACAACCCAGTCCAAAAATGGGCAGAGGAAATGAACAATCTTCTCCAAAGAAGATATACAGTTGGCCAATAGGCACATGAAAAGATGTTCAACATTACTAATCATCAGGGAAATGCAAATCAAAACAACACTAAGATATCACCTCACGCCCTTTAGAACGGCTATAATCACCAAGACAAAAAACAACAAATGTTGGAAAGGATGTGGAGAAACAGAAACCCTCATACACAGCTGGTGGGAATGCAAACTGATGCTGCCTCTGTGGAAAATGGTATGGAGATTCCTCAAAAATTTAAAAATATAAATACTCTATGATCCAGCTATCCCGCTACTGGGAATCTATCCAACAAACCTGAAATCAACAATCCAAAGAGGCTTATGCCCCTCTATGTTCATTGCAGCATTATTCACCATAGCCAAGAAGTGGAAGCACCCCAAGTGTCCCTCGACTGACGATTGGATCAAGAAGATGTGGTATATATATATACCATGGAATACTACTCAGCCATAAAAAAGCCAAAATCATCCCATTTGCAACAACATGGATGGACCTGGAGGCTATTATGTTAAGTGAAATAAGCCAGACAGAGAAAGACAAACACTGTATGATCTCACTCATATGTGGAATATAAACCAACACATGGACAGAGAAAACTGTATTGTGGTTACCAGGGGCAATGGGGTAGTGGGTGGGCACAAGGGGTGAAGGGAGTCATGTATGTGGTGATGGACAACAAAAATGTACAACCCCAAATTTCACAATGTTATAAACTATTAAGACATCAATACAAACAAAAACAAAAACAAAAACAAAAAACTCAGTGAAGGGCTCAGGAGTAGATTGGAGGAGACAGGAGAAAGAATAAGTGAAGCTGAAGACAGAACCAGAAAAAATACTCAATCTGAACAATAGACAGAAAATAGACTGAAAAAAAATGAATAGAGCCACAGGGACTTGTGGGATTATAACAAAAGATATAATATCCATGATATTGTTATCCTAGAAGAATAGGAGAAAGAATGCAAGGATGGAAAAGTATTTGAGGAAATAATACCCGGAAAGGTTCCAAATTTGGCAAATGGCATAAAGCCACAGATGCAAGAAGCTGAAAGAACATCATATAGGATGAACCTAGTGAAATCCACAGTAGGATACAGCATAATAAAGACAAAGGAAAAGAATCCTAAAAGTAGTGAGAATGAAACAGCGTCTTACATATGGGAAAAACACAATGGTGATGACAACAGTTGAAATAAAACCCTATGGAAACCAGGCACATGAATAGCACAGGAGGTTGCCATCCTAGTTAATTCACCTTCTACCACCCCACACAATCCTTCAATTCAGCAAATGTCCTGTGGGAAAATGAGCAAGGCATTTGAAAGCCATCTGGTTTGTCACACCAGCCCTAAATGACACTAAAAGCTTTACGGATTACTCATTTCTCCAGCAGTGATTCTCCGCCTGGGAAAGTCTGATCATTATCCCATGCCCAACTGGCCAATGTCCTCATGGAAGGAAAAAGAAAGAAAGGAGGGAAAGGAAGATAGAGGGAGGCAAGGAAGGATGGAAGGAAAGGCAAAGGCTTTAACTTGTCCTGCTTGGCTCAGTAGGAGCTTTAAGCTGGCATGACTTTTTACTACCGCAGCATTTTAAATTAAAAAGCTAATTGGCAGCTTTCTCTGTGTGACTGGGGTTTGTCACATGACAGTCTTGATTTTGGAAGCTGGCTTTTAGGCTGTGGTCCTTCCAGTAGCGTAATTGGATAGTGCCTATTCTATAGGACAGACCATTTGAGAAGCCCAAATTATGTAGTCACCATTGATTCAGTTGCTTTAGGAAACAAAGTACTCTTCTAAATTGTCTCCTTTGGGATAAAAATGTTGTGTTCACTGCATTCTGTGATTCAGAGAAAGGGAGAGATGAGTAGTGAATATTGAGAGCTAAGTGGTTCTGTGGTTTCGCAGACAGACTTTCATTGATAATTCTACGTGCCTGCCACCCTCCCAATCCCGCTCTTTCAGCTCTTCTTCCTCTCTTTTGCCTGGTGACTCTGAGGCTGCAGCTCCTCTAGAGCACCCTGAGACTGACCAACTAGCTCTCTGCTTTGCCATTGTATTCAATGTGGTCGCTTTCTCACTTCATTTTATCGATCAATGGCCTTCTTTTTATTTCAAAATCCCAGTAAGTTCTTAAATCTCTCATCTTCTAATTGCTTTTTTCTGATTCTCCTTCACTATTATTTATTGGAAAAAGGGAGCTATTGTGTGTACCAGGTCTGTCAGTTTGAATTGGAATCATTCTGTGGTTATGTATCTTGATTGATAGATAGATCAATCAATAGATAGGAAAAGAGAGAGAGAGAGACTTTATTTCTTATTTATCAAGGAAGAAAAGTATGTCTCCCTTATTAATTTTAACAAAAATTCTAAGTAAAACACTCATAAATTTAATGCTGTAATATACTAAGTGAACAATGTACTACATGGAGATAGGTATTATTCCAGCAATGCAAGTTTGCTTAATATTGGTTGTGATAGAAAGCTTCTTTGAATTTTTTATTTGTAGGACTTAGAGCAGGAGAATAGTATATCAAACTGATCCTAGCCCACACAGGTAGACTAGGGGAGACAAGCACATCTCAGCACTTTCATTTCAAACTTGGAAAGGAATATGTTTCGGGCAGGTAATTGTTCAAAAACAGACAAGCTAATCAAGGAAAACATAAGTAAAATTAACTGCCTTTTCCTTACCCATTCTTATACACAGGACTGTAAGAAAATATGCTTACATAATACAGGCACTTCCCCTTAGGAAATATGTTTTTAGTTATATTAAGGATTTCATTTTGGGAACCGTGATGTAATTGCTTCTGGGACACTATCTGTCTCTTGTTCAAAGAAGGAAGTCTTATATGTTAGTTAATATGCAAAACATCATCCCAGCCATTGACCAGGGCTAAGTACTCTTATAGCATTCCTGGCTTTTCCCGTCATTATAGAAGAGCCAGCTACACATTGATCTGTTTACTTGAAGAAAATTATATCAGAAGCATGCATCTTTTCCTGGCTTATTTTTCTTCTGAAAACAACCCAGTCAAGTATGACCAATTTATTATTGCCTCAATGACAATGTTTAAGGAGCACTAGAATGAAAATAGTTTTGTGCACAGGTAATGCTGATTTGTTCAACGTTTTGTTTCTGGCTTTCTGGCTTCATCAGAGCACTTTCAGTTAATGAACAAGCTGAGATCTGTTCTTTCTTTATTTACCAATAGTGATAGAAAATAATGAATGTTTCAGACTATTGATGATATATTGAATATTCTATCAGATAACTTGAGAAAAACTTAGAAGATGCCTCCAAAGATATTCAAATTAACATTTGAATAGAGGAATATTGGCATAAAGTCTACACGAAAATCAGGTTAAATACATGAATAATTAAAACAACATCTTGCATTTCGTGAGCATCTACCATGTGCCAGACCCTGCTTTTGTTCCTTTATATGTAAAAAATTATTTCATCCTCATAACCTATATATTTTTTTTATTTGGGTATAATTGCTATTATAAATTCAAAGGTAGATAAACTGAGGTATGGAGGGACTAAACGACTTGCTCAAGGTCACATTGCTAATGTGAAAGATAAGATATATTGTCATTAAAGTTAGAAAACATGTAAAAATGACAAAAACACTGGTATTTAGCATTGAACATTGAGCTCTGTGAGTAAAGTAGGTCTTGCACTGAATATTGGTTCTGTCAATAACTCACAGCATGACCTTAAAAATAAAAATTTAATTCTCACCAAATACAAAATGAGGATAAAAATGTCTTCTTCACAGGGTCAATATGAGTATATATTATAAAAATACATAGAAAGTGAGAAGATAGATCCTAGCTTATCATAAGTTGGCTATTTTTGTTCTTACATCACTTAGTATCAATAACCACACAGCTCTGCTTCCTCAAGGGAAAAATAGCATCTGATTCTCAAATTTTGATATTTGATAAAGTAATAACATACTATTTTGATTTCAAGTTCTTTTATTAGAATGAGTAGATGTCCTGAAATCCAGATTCATCTGTTTTAGATAGATAGATAGATAGATAGATAGATAGATAGATAGATAGAGCTATATCTTTGGCATCTAATTTATGTACCAAGTGCAATTGCTCAACTCTTGACCTTACATTTACATCTGTTGTTGGTTGTTTTAACATTTTAGTTTTGTAACGGTGGAAGTTGCCATGATATCAGTGAATACGCAGGAAGAGTCGATTGTGACTCAAAAACAAAATGCCATGGACATGGGGTATGTAATGGTTACTCTATTTTTATGTATGGTTTTAAAAATCCTTGTTAATAACGTTTTCCAAATAATAATAAGGTTCAGAATTATTTGATGTGAAAATTTCTTTTGGAAAATTGCAGTTAAATAAGGAAAATGGATTTTATTATTTATACATATGTACATGATTTATGTGTTCATTGTTTCTTATGGCTGAGTAGTATTCCATTGTGTATATATACCACATCTTCTTTATCCATTCGTCCCTTGTGTTTAATCAGATTTTTATAGGCCTCATGAGCAAATAAGCTTTAAGCTTCATACAAAATGCAATATGAAACATAATCTATTATTATAATGTCAGATTAAGATTATGAAATTTTGTAAATGGATTTATTAAGGATTACACATATGTATTTATACACATGAATATTGCTTATAATCGAGTGTATGTATACTGATGTATATTTGAACACTCATACATTTAATATATTCACATTACACATATTACTTATAATCTAACATTTTTTTTTTTTTAAAGATTTTATTTATTTTATTTTTTCCCCCCAAAGCCCCAGTGGATAGTTGTATGTCGTAGCTGCACATCCTTTTAGTTGCTGCATGTGGGACTCGGCCCCAGGATGAACGGAGAAGCGGTGCCTCAATGCGCACCCGGGATCCGAACCCGGGCCACCAGCATCGCAGCGCGCGCACTTAACCACCAAGCCACAGGGCCGGCCCTAATCTAACATTTTTGTGAGAGCAAAGTTTTTTGTCCATTTAGATCCATTTCATCCTTCAATAGCTTCAGTTTGTTTCCCTGTGTGTCTCTTTCACACTATGTTTGAAAAGTCATTTACCGATGGACTTGTGAATAATGTTAAATTTTTTACTGAACTATTGTAAAAAGTGGTACAATGGGCATTATCGTACATTCACCTTTGCACATTTATCTGATTTCTTAAATTGTTAGCAACGAAATCTGATGGGTCAAATATATGCACCATTTAAATGTTCATAAATATTATATTGTCTTCAGAAATATAGCAGTTTTTGCTCCCACCTATCATGTATAAAAATGTGCACTTCCTCAAATTCTGGCCAGACTAGCTTCTTAGTCTTTTTAATCTCCTCTAACATGCTAAACCCATTGTTAATTTGCATTTATTTAATAATTAATTGTACAATTCTTAAGTATATATGTATGGGCATATTTGCCATTTGCATTTCTTTTTGTCCATCCATTGTGAAATTATCTACTGGGTTATAGAAATTTTATAAACTTTGTAAGTTTTTCTGAGCATGCTTTTGACTTTAACTTTGTGACTAGAGTCTCCTGCCATATTGATGCTTCATATTTTATATAGTAATCCATGAAAAAGTGACCTGTCTGTGTGTCTTGTATCAAAATTCTCTCCCAAATCACTTACGTGTCCTATTATTTACAGTTTCTTTTCTATTTCTTTCCTTTCTTTTTTTTTTTTTAAAGATTTTATTTATTTATTTTTTCCCCCCAAAGCCCCAGTAGATAGTTGTATGTCATAGCTGCACATCCTTCTAGTTGCTGTATGTGGGACGCGGCCTCAGCATGGCCGGAGAAGCGGTGCCCGCCCGGGATCCGAACCCGGGCCGCCAGCAGCGGAGCGCTCGCACTTAACCACTAAGCCGCGGGGCCGGCCCTATTTCTTTCCTTTCTTAATTTTAATTTTAATTTATGCATCAACCTGTTTCTAGATTCTCTATTCTGCTTCTAATCCTTCCTGCAATTCGTATACAAGATCACATTTACAAATATTTTTTAGCCTTCCTATTTTTTAACAAAATAAATTTTGATATCAGTATCTGATTAAGCAAGCTTCTCCCTTAGTTTTTCCTCCATTTTTTTGTAAAAGTTGGCTCTTATCACAGCTATTTTTTAATCCAGCACAATTCATAATAAATTTCAACTCCCACTATTTTATAATTTCTATGCCTTTCTAGAAGAAGGCATTTCAATTGTATCAAGAATGTTATGTACTTTTATTTAAAACTGCAAGAGATAATAAGAGGAAATCTCTACGACACTTGAAAAGATATTGCATGGACATTTATTATATTTTATTTTGAAAATTATTTTCCACATTAAAATGAAAATTACCTTCAACATACTAATTGATAATCCTTTAAAAATTTACATTGACTAACAATCACAAATAATGCATCTAATTTTTATGTTGCACATAAAATGTTCTTATGTTTTATTTGGTTTTTGTTTTAGGTTTGCAATAATTTCCTTAATTGTCAATGTGATGTTGGATATGCTCCTCCGTCTTGTGAGCCGACACCATCATCACCAGGAGGAAGTATCGATGATGGGTTTTGGATTGTGCAGAGTTAGTATTAGATCGGTGTGCTTCAATAGAGCTTTTTGCACTTATAGAAATGTTCTGCATCTCCACTGTGTATGTGGCTTTTGAGCCCCTGATATGTAGGTAGTGCAACTAAGGGACTAAAATTTTCATTTTATTTTACTTTAGTTAATTTAAATTTAAATAGCCACTTGTGGCTAGTAGACAGCACAGCTCTAGATTATAGTGTCCAAGTTTTGTATACACATTAATTCAAATCTAGAAGTGAACATTTTAATAATCCTCCCCTTAATTTTAATCATCTTTCCCAAAACATTTCTGTTTATCCACAAGGTTTTCTAGATAGGTATAGTTAAGTCATTGAATAGGTGATGGTTTTATTATACAGACTGTATATTCCAAGGATGTTAACTACCGTGATGTGATAGTTCAAGACTGAGTTGCATCTTTCAAGTTAACCATACTATTGGAAGGTAAAAATAATCAAATCTTCCACATCCATAACATATGGATAGTAGAGGGAACAGCATGTTTTTAATTATTTGGTAAATATTCATGAACAAATATAGCATATTTGTTTTTTCTAAACTTCACAATGTAAACATGTCATAACAGTATAATTCTATTTATGTCTTTCCATCATTTGTACTTTTACTGTTATATTTTCTTTATATATATGTTGTAAACCTGAAAATACATTATTATATTTGGCTTAAATAGCCAATGGACTATTAAAGATTTTTTAATATAAATATTTACATTTACCCACCTCCTTACTGTTTTCTAGGGCTTTCCAACTCTTCCAGCACGTTCAAATTTCCATGTGCGTCATCTTTCAAGCTGAAAACCTTCCTTTTGTATTTCTTCCTGTGTGTGACTTTTGGTGACCAATTGTCTCAGCTTCTGTTTGTCTTTAAAATGTTTTTATAATGTCTTAATTTGTGAAGGATATTTTCAGTGAAACTAGAATTGTACACTGAGAATTATTTCTTTTAAGAGTTCAAAGATGTAATCCCATCATATCCTGGCTTGCATTTTCTGATGAGAATACAGCTGTCATTCTCATATTCCTGCTAATAATATAATGCTTCTTGTATCCTTTGTCTGAGTTTGAAACTTATTTTACAGCTTTGATTTTCCACAGTTCCACTATGATTTACCAAGCTGTATTTTTCTTTGAATTTATCCTGCTTGGGTTGGCTGAGATTCTTGACTCTATAGGTTTGATGTATTTTGGGAAATTTTGGAAAAAACTTTAGCTATTGTCTCTTTATTAATATTTATTTTTTATTTAACATATTTGGATTAAAACATTTATACACAGTAACATTTACTCCATGCTATACAGTTCTATGGGTATTGAAAAATGTACAGACTTTTGTCCCAACACCACAGTTATGATACACAATAGATCTATCACCCCAAAACTTCCCTCTGGCTCCTCCTTTATATTTATCCCCCAATGCCAATTCTTGGTAACCAATTACATGTTCTCTGTCCCTATAGATTTGCCTTTTCCAGAATGTTATATATAGTACATATATATTTGAGATTCATCCCTGTTGCCTTATGTTTTAGTAATTCATTCTTTTTTATTGTTAAGTAGCCTTCTATTGAAAAGAGGTATTATAGTTTGCTTATCTATTCACCCATTGAAGGGTATTTAGGTTGTTTCTAGATATTGGCAATTATGAATAAAGCTGTTATAAATGTGCACATAGGCTTTTGTGTATATATAAGTTCTCATTTTTTGGTGAGTAAATACCTAGGAGTGAGGTTTTGTTTTGTTTTGTTTTTAGTAAGTGTATTTTTAATTCTAGGAGAAACAGCCAAACTATTTTCCAAAGTGGCTGTACCATTTTTCCTTCCCTCCTTTCATCTATGAGTGTTCCATTTTTTCTACACAGATGATCCACACTTCAGAAGTACTTGATATTATCTTTTTTGTTTGTTTTGTTTGATTTTGTTTTACCAGTTTTAGATGTGTAACGATATTCCATTGTGATTTTTATTTAACTTTTTATGTTGAAATAATTATAGATTCAAAAAGAGCTGCCAAGAAATGTAGAGAAAAGTCCTGTGTACGTTTTACTCCAATGTTAACATGTTTCAATACTGTAGTAGAATATCAAAACCAGTGGACATTGGAAATGGACATTGGTAAAATGCACCGACCCTATTCAGATTTCACCAGTATACATGCACTCATTTGTGTGTATGTGTGTGTGTGTATTTCGTTCTATGAAATTTTACCTCATGTTCACATTTGTGTAACCACCACCACAATCAAGATTCAGAAGTATATCATCACTACACAGCCCCTAACATTACCCCTTTATATAGCAACACGGATCCTCTCTTTCCCCATTCCTAACTCCTGGTAACTACTAAACTACTTTCCATCTCTCTAATTATGCTATTTTATGGATGTTATATAAATGGAATCACAAAGTTTGTATCTCTTTGAGATTGGCTTTTTTCTCTTGCATAATTTCCATGAACTGCATCCAATTTGTTGCATGTATGATTACTTCAATGTTTTTAATTTCTGCCTACTATTCCTTTGTATGGATGTATAAAAATTTGTTTAATTATTCACCCAGTGAAGTACATTTGGGTGGTTGCCAATTTTTAGCTATTATAAATGAATCTGCAATGGACATTCATGTAGAAGATTCTTCATGAAAGTAAATTTTTAATTCTCTTGGAAACATGCCCAAGAGTGAAATTTCTGGGCTTATGGTAAGGCATTTATAGTTTTAAAAGCAACTGCCAAACCATTTTTCAGAGTCACTGTAACATTTGACATTTGACATTCCCACCAATAATATATGAATGAATTAGTTTTTTGGCATCCTCATCAACATTTAATGATACTACTAATTTTTTTTTAGCCATTCTATTAGGTGTGTACTAATATCTCATTGAGGTTTTAATTTGCACTTCCCTAAAGGGGAATGATGTTGAATATCTTTAATATGTTTATGTGGCATCAGCATATTCTTTCCAGTAAAAAGTCTGTTCATGTTTATTGTCCATTTTCTAATTGGATATTTTCTGTTTTTAAATGTTGAATTTTCAGAAATTTTTTGTTTTTTACATATATGTATTTTGTTGGATATATAATTTGAACATATTTTCTCCAAGTCTGCAATTGGTTTTTTCTCAGACCAAAATCGTTTTTTAATTCTTATTTTGATAAGGTCTACTTTTTTCCTTTGTGGATCATGCTTTTGGTGTCAAGTGTATGAACTGGTTGTCAATCTTAAGTCCTGAAGACTTTCTGCTATGATATTCCTAAAAGGTGTGGTTTTATGTTGTGCATTTAAGTCCATGATCCATTTTGAATTACATTTTATAAAGGGTGGGAGATTAATTTTTTGATTAATGGGTGTCAATTTCTTCAGCACAATTCTTTGAAAAAGCTATTTCTTGTCCATTGAATTGTTTTTGCACCATTGTCAAAAATTAGTTGGACATTTTTGTGTTGGTGTATTTCTCAGTTCTCTATTCTGTTCCATTGATCTACAAGTCATTCTCTCCACCAGTGCTACACTGTTTTGATTATTGTAATCTTTAACTTCGGGATAAGTGATTCCTCCCACTTTATTCTTCTTTTTCAAAAAATTTTTGGCTATTCTAGGGTTTGTCCTTTTCATATACGTTTTAGAATAAGCTTGTCAATGTTTACAAAAAAATCTTGCTGTGATTATGATACAAATTGTGTTAACTTTTTGCATCAGTTAAGAAAGATTTTACATCTGTATTATTTATTACTGAATCTTTCAATCTATGAACACTGTATGTCTCTCCATTTATTTAGATCTTCTTTTATTTCCCTCCTCAGAATTTTGTAATTTTCACCAGTTACTGTACCTGTTTTATTAGTTCATATTTTGTTATTTCATATTTATTTCATTGTCTTTAGATCAATTGTAAATGATGTACTATAAATAAACATATTTTTAATTTATATTTATAAGCAACAATTAAAATGATTAATCTTAATGTTTATCACATCTACACCATCTAACTCCTTCCAATCAACTTTGCATACATGTTTGTCCACTTGTGAACCATGTCAAAAAAAGTGTTTATAATTGTCCAATTGTTATAAAAGATGAAAGGATACTATTATAGATCTTCTTTAACACACATAATGTTCCAGATATTTGTGACAAAATAGTTCATGCTGAAGTATGACTAACTGGATGAGAATACCATATTTCCTTCTTGTCATTAGAAATATTCTGTTCACTCATTGATTGTTGAGTTGGAGGAAAGTTATGATATATCATCATGTGTAGACTCATAGTATGAGATTTCATTTGTATGATCAATTTCAGTATCACCATTACAGGCTAGAGTTCTGCTCTCTGTTTCTTTGCATTTGTCTGATTAAAAATTATAAAATGTCTTTCTCCCTCAATATTCTTTTCTTTATTACTATAGCAGTAAAAGAAAATTTCTTAATTCTAAGTCATGCTCAATAGAAGCTAAAATAAAAAGACAGAAATTGACTTCAGGGCTCTTTTGTACCTTCTTGAAAGTTGGTACATTACTTTTGGCAACAAAATAAGAAAAGTGAAATTTTCCAATGGAATACAATCAGGAGCTCAGAAATAAACCCTCACATACATGGTTTAATGATTTTTGATAAGGATGCCTTGACCATTCAATAGGGGAAAGGACAGTCTTTTCAACAAACAGTATTGGGATAACTGGATACCAATATGCAAAAGAATGAGGTTGGACACTTACACCAATATGCAAAGATTAACTCCAAATGGGTCAAATATTTAAACGTAGGAGCTAAAACTATAAAATTCTTAGAAGAAAACAGAGGAGGAAATCTTCATTAGATTTGGCAATGATTTGGATATGATTTGGATATGACACCAAAAGCACAACAGAAGCAAAATTAGATAAATTGGAATTCTTCATAATTAAAAACTGCTGTGCATCAAAGGACACTATCAACAAGGTAAAAAGGTAACTCACAGAATGGAGAAAATGTTTGCAAATCATGAATCTGATGAAAGATTAATATCCAGAACATGTAAAGAACTCCTACAACTCAACAACAAAGAAACAACCCAATTAAAAAATGGGAAAGGACTTGAATAGACATTTCTTCAAAGAAGATACACAGATGGCCAGTGAGCACATGAAAAAATGATCAACACCACTAACTGTTAGGGAATTGCAGGTCAAAACCACAACAAGATACCAATTCACACATATTAGGATGGCTATCCTCAAAAAAATTCAGAAAATATCAAGTGTTCATGAGAATATGGAGAAATTGGAACCCCTGTGCATTGCTGGTGGGAATGTAAAATGATGCAGCCTCTGTGGAAAATAGTATGGTGGTTCCTTAAAAAATTAAAGATAGAATTACCATATTCTAAAATTCCACATCTAGGTATATGCCCAAAAGTATTAAAAGCATGGACTGAAACAGAAATTTATATACTCATGTTCATAGCAGCATTATTCACAGTAGCCAAAAGGTGGAAACAACCAAATGTTCATTGATATGTAAAGGAAGAAACAAAATGTGATATATACATACAGTGGAATATTATTCAGCTTTATAAAGAAATGAAATTCTGATGCATGCTACAACATGAATGGAACTTAAAGACCTTATGTTAACTAAAACAAGCCAATCATAATAGGACAAATATTGAATGATTCTGCTTTTATGAGGTACCTAGAGTAGTCAAACTCAGAGAGAGAAGTTAGAATGGTAGTTCACAGGGGCTGACAGGAGGTGGAAATGGTAAGTTAATATTTAAGGGGTAGAGAGTTTCAGTTTGGGAGGATGAAGATGTTCTGGAGTTTGATGATGGTAATGGATGCACAACAATGTGAATGGACTTAATGCACTGACTGTACACTTAAAAATGTTTGAAATAGGGCTGTCCCCGTGGCTTAGCGGTTAAGTGCTCACGCTCTGCTGCTGGTGGCCTGGGTTCGGATCCCGGGCACGCATAGATGCACCGCTTCTCCGGCCATGCTGAGGCTGCGTCCCACATACAGCAACTAGAAGGATGTGCAGCTATGACATACAACTATCTACTGGGGCTTTGGGGGAAAAAATAAATAAATCAAAAAATTTTTTTTAAATGTTTGAAATAATAAATTTTCAGTGTTGTATATTTTAACACAATAAAAAATTAAATTAGGAAAACATTCCTTTTATGATATCACCCAAAATAATACAGTATTTAGAAATAATTTTATGAGAAGTATAAGACACTGAAAACTAAAAACACATTATTGAAAGAAAGATCTGCATAAATGTGAAGACATTTCATATTCATGTATCTGAAGACTCAATATTGTTAGTATAGGAATACTCCCAAAATTGATCTACAAATTCAACACAATCCTTAACAAACCCAAGCTGTCTTTTTTGCAGAAATTGACAAGCCGATCCTAAAAGTCATACATAAATTCAAGGGACACAGAATAGTAAAAACAATCTTGAAAACGTAGCTTTCAAGAAAACTTAAAACTGAAAACCCACTTCTCAATTCGAAAATACATTACAAAGCTAAAATAATCAAGACAGTGTAGTACTGTGCTAAGGATAAGGCTAGACACATAGTTCAATGGAATAGAACAGAGAGCCCAGATATAAAGCCTCATACTTAACAGTTATTGATTTTTAACAGGATGCTAAGGCAATTCAATGAGAAAAGAATGGTCTTTTCAACAAATTGTGTTGGGACAAGTAGATATCCACGCGCAAAAGAAAGAAGATAGATTGTTTCATTATAATATTCACAAAAATTACCTGAAAATGGATCATAGATATAAGTGGATGAGCTAAACTTATATAACATTAGAACACATGTAAGTAAATCTTTGTGCCCTTGGCATAGGCTATGTTATAGAAGACACCAAAGCATAAGTGAAGAGAACACTAGATTGATCGAACTTCATCAAACTTAACTTTTGTGCTGCTAATGATACCCCAAGAAAGTGAAAGACAAACTACAGAATGGGAGAACATATTTGCAAATATTATTTGTCATATGGGACTTGTATCCAGAATATGTAAAGAACACCTACAAGTCCATAATAAAAAGACAACCCAATTAAAAATGGAAATGGATTTAAATAAACACATCTCCGTAGAAGATATACAAATGACCAATAAGCACCTGAAAAGATGCTCAACATCTTAGGAAAATGCAAATCAAAACCACAATGAGATCCTACTTCATGCTCATTCAGATTGTAATAACAAACGCAGGCAAAATGTGTGAGGATGTGGAGAAATTGGGATCTTCTTGGTGCTCTGTTTTCCAGCACTGCTCAAACTAGTACAGTCATGTGTTTCTTAACGAAGGGGACACATTCTGAGAAATGTGTCATTGGGCAATTATGTCCTTGTGCGAACATCATAGAGTGTACTTATACAAACCTAGATGGTATGGCCTACCGCACACTTAGGCTATATGGTGCTAATCATATGGGACCATCATTGTATATGCAGTCCATCATTGACCGAAACGTCATTATGTGGCACGTGAGTATATTTGCCAATTTATTTTCTATAATACATAAAACTTCCTGAATCACTTTCTTTTAGGTAAATCACTTCTAATCTACATATAATTGGATTGTGTGTGTTTTAAATTTACTGATTTTTTGTCTTTTTTCAGTGGCATTAAATTCATTTGTATTTAATACCATCATAGTTGCTTTGGTGGTAATACTGATTGCTTGATTTAGTTTTTTGTATTTTACTCGTCTGGTTTATTTCCTTTGTTTGATTGGACCAAGTTTCTGTAGATTTTAATTTTCTAATTTTCTGTAATATCTTTATGGCACCTATAGGAATATCTATTTTTTTAATTAATATAGTCAAAATTAGAACAATATCACCTTATATAGATAATATGGAAATTTAACCTAGTTTACTATCATTAATTGTTTTTTTAAAATTAGCCCTCAGTTATACCAATAATTTTTCATTAAACCACTTGTAAAACAGTTCTTTTTGTGGCTCTATTTTTCTTTCTTCCTTTTTTTTTTTTTGTGAGGAAGATTGGCACTGAGCTAACATCTGCTGCCAATCTTCTTTTTGCTTGAGGAAGATTGTTGCTGAGCTAACATCTGTGCCTGTCTTCCTCTATTTTGCATGTGGGATGCTGCCACAGCATGACTTGATGAGTGGTGTGTAGGTCTGCACCCAGGATCCGAAACTGAGAACCTCAGACCGCCGAAATGGAGCATGCCAACTTAACCACTACGCCACTGGGCCATCCCTTTTGTTCTATTTTTTAAGTGGAATAACTTATTAGATAATATCAATTTAATGTATTCTAAGTAGCAATTCATAGAAAGGAATATTATAGAATAAAATACATAAGAGTACAGCATATAAATAAAGATTAAATATGTGTATAAATATTAAAAATAAACTTATGTCAATGAGATATACATGTATATTGATTGAGTTGACATAAATACATAAGGTACTTTGGGGAATAGTCACAGATTATAGAAAACACTTTTAAATTTAAGTTTATTCATTCCATAACTCTATTATTTGATTCCAAATTGTTATAATTCAAATTAATAATAAGCTTTAAATACCATTTCTTAAAAAGTTAAAAGGTAATATCACATTTTCAGGTAAAAGTACATACTCGTTTGTAAAACGAAATGGTGCTGCTCCTCGAAAAAATGGCCTCTTGATCAGTGTCTACGTTTTTCTACCTTTCTTTATTTTAATTGCCATCGTTGCTCTTAAATGGAGTAAAATGAAGAGATTTTGGAGTAGAGAGTGAACAGTAAATGAAGAGTAAGTAAACTCATTATCTTTTATATTTAATATTATAAATGCATTACGGGAAGAATTCAGATGTAATTCAGAATATTACAAGTAGGGATCGTTGGATGGATTGGCTTAATGTTTAAAAATATTGAGTCTTAGTATATAACAATTTTTTTTCAGACTTCAGGTAGTTAGGTATCTTTCATGTTCTTATAGGCCCAGAAACAATTGAAGCTATCATTAAATCCTCAGTGCCTTTCAGATAAAAGCCATGCTGGATATAATTGCTTTGGGAGGTTCTGTCTACTTCCCAAGAAACCCCATTTTCCTTGCATTGACAGTCAGTTGTGCCCAGGAGATTAATAGAGATAGGGAAGCAAATTTTGTGAATAGAATATGCAAAAGGTGAGAAAAATATAAGATGACAAAGAATGAGGGGGAAATCACAGATAGGATGCTCCCCATTTTACACGTAATTAATATTGCTCATGTGTTTCTAAAACTAGAATTAAGGTACTTGCACAGCTTTTTTCTTTAATGTAATAACAATGCAAGCCACAATTTGCTTAGTGAATATTTAGGAAAATGAGAATGCAGAAGTAAGGATACATAAGTGGGTCTCGTTCCATGCTAAAGGAAAATGGTTTTGTTTGTTACTTATGCATATGGAGATAAAATAATGATATAAAATTTCTGTCAACACCTCTATTTCCCAAGTTAGCAAATTTTAATTTTCAACAACTAGCAGCAACTAGTTAAATTAAAGGTCGTATTTTGCATGTTTTATATACACCTTTACATGATCATCAAATTGCTATAAATTGACTTAATTGAATGATATCTCTCATAAGTCTTCCTGTGCTATTACTTAAGACATCTTGGAAAAATCTGAATAGTTGCCAGAAGTAAATCTGACTTTTGGAAGAGATGTTATCATAAGGGATCTTGGATCATAAATAACAACATCTGGTCATGACAACCTAAGTATTAAAGAGGCAATAACTGGTTTCAGGACTGCAAGGGTAAGAGATGGTGTAGAGCTGAAGCACAGAGGGTGGTCATAAACTAGATGGTCAGGAACTACGTCATTCGGTCCATCACCCAAAGGCTCTATGACTGGCATCATCCTTCTTGTCTCTGTCCATTCTCTCCAAAAGGACTGCTCTGCTTGCACATGGGGCAGCATACATATCTCAACCCTTTGTAGATTCATTTTCAAATAAAATACCAATAATCTGTCCACAGCCAATGCCTCTTAGTTCATATTCTCAAGAGATGGAAGAAAATAGCTGTGCAGGTGTACCTAAAGTCAGCCGGTGTTCTGTCTGTCTGTCTGAGTTAGGTGTTCAAACCTGATTTTATCATCTGTGGCCAAGGAATTGTAGCCACGTAGTAGGAACCTGGACACCATGACATTCCTCTTCAACATGAACTGTGTATGTATAGGAGTTTTCCAAAGACAAAATGTCGGTTGTATAAATACCACAAAAGGTAACTAAGCATAGCTGAAAGACTTAGAGGCCTCATTAAGGACCTCATTAATAAAAGTGAAATAAAAGCTTTGCCCTGAGCTAACATCTGTTGCTCATCTTCCTCTTTTTGTGTGTGAGCAGCTGCCACAGCATGGCCACTGACAGATGAGTAGTGAAGGTCTGCACTGGGGAACCCAACGTGGGCCGTCAAAGCACAGCATGTGGAACTTAACCACTGGGCCACCAGGGCTAGCCCCATAAGTTTTTAATAGAAATATTATAACTAGACAGATAATAATTTAAGAATTTGAAGATTTGCATGTAAATTACCTTTTGAACTTTGGAGAAGCATTATCATGGATATATTAATATGCCATCCTGTCTTCCATGTAGATAAATAAGATAGAGAAAAATAATAGATGGATTTTTAGTTTGAAATTTAAAAAATGCTTAAATCTTTAAAAGTTAGATCAGCATTGGAAAATACCAAACACTAGAATATATGATCACTGAGTGGGATATGGGAAGGAAAGTGGAAATTGGTACACTTTAAATGACCAATTGGTACAAATCCAGCTGTTTTACTTTTCTTGATCTTGTTTAAGATTACAATGTTTCCTAACCCGAAAACTAACACTGTTTCTTTTATACAGATGTATATCAGAAGGCAGCAATAGTAACAGCAAGCAGTCATATGTAGAGTTAAACGTGAATTAAAGGAATCAAATGATTGACAAAATGATATAATTCATGAAATAGTTTTTTTTTAATTTTTTGCAATACCTCAGTATAAGAAAGCTATTATTTCCATGTTTCATCACACTGATGCCTATTTCTCAATGTCATATACTAAAGCAAAGCATTTGCTGTTAACTTTGTTTTATACTAACTTAGAAATATTTAATGTTAACTAATATTAGCCAGAGATTTATTAACCAGCATTCTTGCAATAAGAAATGACTTTAAAGATATTTTAAGTATGTTCTTAAAATATTTGTGAGCAATTGTGCATCCTGCTCCTGCATTTAACATTCTAATTGGTACATTTACACAGATTGTCCTTCGACATTTGCATTTCTTCCTCAGTAAGTCTCCATGGTTATTGTTATCCTTATTTTAGAAATGAGGGAACAGACATAAAGAATTTAAACAATTCCCCATGCATATAGAATTTTAGTAGGGTTTTGAGTTGGAGTTTAGGACAATCAGACTCCAGGGTTTAAACTCTTAAGAACTCCATGATTTTGACATATAGCTTGATACATGACTGGGGATGGGGAATGGAATTTACATTTATTGAGGACCTATTAGATGCCTTGCAAAATGCTAGATGCACTCTCCCTCCAAGTCAGAAAGAATTCTTTACTATAAAATGGCATAAAGTAGGCATCTGTATATATTGTTCAAATTTCTAACTCATGTATGTGAAGAAATCATGATATTTCACATATTAGACCTATCACAAGGAGTAAATGGAAAAATTCAAAAATTCAACCAAGAGTGAGATCAAGAGTTAATCCAATTACCTATCTGCTAATGCCCCATATCTGACTTTGATCCAGAGTTAAGTCAAGGGATCTCTGTTTCTTTATCTGCCACCAGAAAGCATTTATAAATCCTACCCTCAATGTAAAATAGTCTTATTTCTGCCTAGACCAATCTCTACCTCTTCTTTGATAACTTTATTAAAAGCCCACATCTTAGGTGAGGATTTTGGCCCTCGGCTCACTGTCCTCCTCTCACATCCTTAAGTTGTAGTCTCACCATCATGCTGAGAGTCTTCACCTGAACTCCTCACACCACCCAACTTCAGTCATTTTCTCGTAGACCAATGTACTGAGCTTGCCAATTCCCTGATTTCTTCCAACTCTTAAGTCATAAATTCAGTATCTTACTTTCTTTCTTTTATTATTTTTTCTTTTTTTCACAGACTTCTCCTGCCAACAGTATTTTATGGTTACATTAAGATCTTGCCTCAAGAATTTGAGGTAGTGGGTTAGGCATTCAGTTTATAAGTAATAAACATATTTTATAAGTTGATTATATACTGTATTGAAAAGTGATTACTTGTATGGAAAAGATTAGAGCAGTAGGTGTAACTGGGAGAGTTGATGTTGAGGGAGGAACTGGACAGGAATCTTAAACATGGTTGACTGAGTAGGTCCTGTTGAGCAGGTGACATGTAAGCAAATAACTGGAGGAGGTGCAAATATTTACAGTTTAGACATTTGAAAGGAGTCACCTGACTTCACAGGGGCAACTCACATAAGGCTTTTATTTAAATGCGAAGGATACAGTGCAGCAAGAGAGAGTGCAGGCAAGCATTGGGGGTCAGAGAGACACCTCATGCTCAAGGTCTCAAGGTTCCTTATTTTAAATTTTAAACAGCCCATCATAAATCCCACTGCCCTTATCCCGGCAAAAATTGCAACCAGACATCTAGCCCTTCCCAGAGATAAAGATAGAGCTTTTCCATTCCAGCTGTAATTCAGCTTTATCTTCCACAGGCATAGAGCTGGTAGAGCTATCCATGCGTATATCAGGGCAGGAGCTTTCCTAGCACATGGTGATCGAATGAAAAAATAAGTCAGGAATTTTTGATGAATAACAGCGATGCCAGTTTATCTGGAGCAGAGTTAGCAATAGGGCTGTGGTGGTGATTAGGTCAGAGAAGTAAAACTCCTACAGGGCCTGGGAGGTCTTGGAGGCCATCTGTGTTTTATCCTGATTGAAAGGGAGGAATCACTGGAGGATTTAGATTCCAAGCACATGACTTACACTTTTAAAGGCTGGTTTGTTGAAAATAGTCTGTATGATGGCAGGAGTAGAAGTGGAGAAACCAGTTAGTGGAGAAACTACTGCAATAATCCAGGAGAGAAAAGATGGTGCCTCAGACCAGGGATGGTAAAGATGGTTTTAGGAATACATTTTGAGAGTGAACCAACAGAATGAACTGACAGAATTATACTCTGAGTTGGCAGAGTATAAGAAAAAGTGTTTAAATAATGTTTATTGATATAAAGCAGGAAGATAGCAAAGCTAAAATGTAAACTCAGACCTCTCTGTTTCTAAATTTGTGCTCTTAATACATTTTACTATTTATGAACGCTGGGAGATAAAATCTACATGGGTAATGATGATCCAAGACAAGTGTCCGGTATGCCATGATGAGGAGTTTAAATTTTCCCATATATGAATCAGAACATAGTTGTATTTTTGAAGTGGTAACGGAGGGATTTAGCATGATATGGTTTGCTTTTTACAAATTTCACTGGGATAAAGTATGGGACAATTCAGTCATTACTGGAGACTAGTGAAACACCTATGAGACTACAGAATCCACAGGAGAGGTGTGGTAAGGGCAAGATTAGATAGGAGGGAAAGAACAGAAAAATCTTGAGAGATATAACAGAGGTAGACTCAAATGAAGTGATGACTGGATGGACGTATTTGCGTTAGAATAAAAGAGAACTACAAAGACTTAAACATTTCTGACACAATGGATAGTGATGCCTTTTACTAATGACATATTGTATAGTAGGGTTAGAACCAGTTTGGTGTTGGAGTAATGAAGTGGAGAGGAGTGAAGAATGATTTTACTCACGTAAAGTGTAGAGACTGTGTAAATGAAACATATATAAATACCAATTTATAATGTTTCCTTTTAATGTGGCTGTCACAAACGATCGAGGAAAAAGAAACTTGGGTTTACAAATTTTGTGGAGCACAGGCATAGATTGTGACAGTGTAACCAGTGCCTTATTATACCAATTAATTGCTATACCTATAGCATAGGAAAATTAGACAGCTTTTAAAAACAATTAACATTTAGCATTTCTATTTTTCTATATTTCTTTTACAGCAGTAACTAAAGAATAGTGTCAAAAAGCCATAGGTTGGAGAAGGGATATTACTAAGAAACTCACCATTAACTAGCCTGATCCAAGAATGAAAAAAATCTGCTTTTTCTCTCCTTTTGTTATGGCTTAAAGCTTTCAGCTTCACAAACCAAAATAAATCCTGTGAGTGCAAGTATGTAGGCTGTGTCTATTGTTTCTTCTCCCCCTGGGATCCTTTAGTAGGACATAAGCAGCTTTGCCTCTTAGGAAGCTGGGAGACTGTCACATCCCAAGCTGAAAACATTCCATTGTCCACTGCTGCTGCCTGCCCTCAGGTACCCATGGCCATGCTAACTGCTGCCATCTCAAGAGAGGACACCTACAGTCGGCACCTCTCCAAGAGCTCAGGATTCCCGTCCTATCCATTGCTGGCTTTGGGACATGGAGAGGAAGTGGTGTTAGGTAAGGCCAGCCCCAGAGCCCCCAGAGAGTCACTAGCATCTGTTCTATCTTCAAGGAGTTGCTCAGACTGAGTTCCTGTCTGTAGATAACCGTTGTGTCTCCAGGTGATACGTCCTTGGCCTCATATAAATTGAGATCTAGGACATATCTTTGTCCTTTGGGGGAACCCGGACTTGCTGCTCTTTCTTCACTGAAGCTGAGCTCTTCTGGGTAAGATTTTC